CCTTCTGGGTTTGCCTGCTCAAGGGTTGGGGAGGTCACTGAGTCTTGGCCAGCGGCCCCCAGCCCGGATCTGGCTCTCTCCAGCTAGCTGCGGTGCTGGTCCCTGCCAGACAGATGCTACCTCAATGTCACTGTAAGGCACGCTATCTTACCACGAGCGAGCCTAGAGCTCGGTGTGGCCCTCGGGCTGCTGAAGGGCCTTTGTCGGAAGCAGATAAAGCTTTCTGTGGGCGTGGGGAGCTTGCAGCTGTGCTGGGGCTGCAGGGGCACAGCCAGAGTGTCCTTGGTGGGTGCACTGGCCATTCTGCTGCACCCATCTTCAAATCCAGCCACAGGAGGAGGCCACGGAAAGAGATGAGGAAGAGTCCAGCCTCACAGACAGACGGAGTGGCAGGCAAGGGAGGGCCGGCAGGACAGGTACACGGGGAGCAGGTGGAGGAGATGCACGGGAAGTTGGGCGGGCAGGGGCAGGGCTCCCAGCTCTGTACCCAGAAGTCACTCCACCAGCTGGCCTCAGTTTGCTCCCCTGCCAATTGGAGACCATCTGAGTCCCAGGGTGTTGGGAGGAGGGGTCACGCAGTGGACGCTGCGATAGCTCCAGCCCTGGTTTTGAGCCCTTGTGCTGAATCCTCCAGCCCCTGTCCCCCAGCCCACAGCATGCAAGCTGCTGAGAACCTAGGCCCAAAGCAGGGCTTAACTAAGGTTGCCTTTTTCTTTTGCACAATCCTTTTCAGAAAATCGAATTATGGGGCCGGCATTGTGGCCGTTAAGCTGCTGCCTGCAGTGCTGGCATCCCATGTGGGTGCCAGTTCAAGTCCCAGCTGCTCCTCTTCTGATCCAGCTCTCTGCTATGGCCTGGGGAAGCAGCAGAAGATGGCCCAAGTCCTTGGGCCCCTGCACCCACGTGGGAGACCCAAGAGAAGCTCCTGACTCCTGGGTTCAGAACTGCCCAGTGCTGGCTGTTGTGGCCATTTGGGGAGTGAACCAGCAGACAGATTTCTTTGTCTCTATCCCTCTCTCTCTGTAACTCAGCCTTTCAAATAAATGAAATAAATCTTTAAAAACAGTCGAATCTACTTTGAGGTGATTTTATCTTTGCATTTGGCTAAACTCACGCAGTCACTCCCAAATGGACAAAGTTGCGAAATTGGAGCAGAGTTCAGTCAGCAGCTCCTGGCCTGGTATAAAGAGAGAGCCGGGGTCCATGCCCCTGCAGATAATGACAGCCAGGGACCCCGCGTGGGCCACGGCTGAGTTCATGGCATTGTCAAGAGATAGCAACCAGTTACAAGACACAGAAGCGAATGTGAGGCTTGGTGCGAGAGGGGAAGGGGAGCGATGTCTACCACGGGGATGCATTGTAATTAGCGTCTGATCTCTTTGAAGCAATTCCTTTGCCCGTATCTGGGTTTTCAGCCCAACTCTTGCATGGAGCCGGGCTTGCCTCATACTCTCACTTCCAAAGGCTCTATGGGAGGCTCCTTCCTGCCTCTCCAGCCTCTCGTAGGTGGCCTCAGGCATTCCTGGGCTTGTGGCTGCACGGCTCCCACCCAACATAGCTCAGAGCATCAGTGCGCTCAGCCTCAGGTGACCTGTCCCGATGAACCGGCCCATCCCCCGCTTTCCCAGCCTCTGTTGTAGATAAGGGCGATCATGTGAACCAGCTCTGGCTGCAGAGGCCCCCCTGGGGACCTTGGAGGCGAGTTCCTGGGGAAATTGCTGCTTTCTTGATCGAAGGGGACAGATGAAGCTGTCCCTGCCCAGTCCTCCTTCCAGATTGGAAAGCCTTCGTGATGGCTGGACATCACTGTCTTCATGAGACAAACGTGAGCTAATCAGAGAGATGCTGGTTCCTGATCCACGGCCAGAAGACCACCCTCAGAATCCTTATGTGAGAAAATCGAACGTTTCTTCCCCAAGACATAAACACCAAAACCAAATCAAACAAACAAAACAGCAGATTTATTTTGAATGGCAGAGTGAGAAAGAGTCTTCTATCCTGTGATTCACTCCTCAAATGCCAACAGAGCTGGGCCAGGCTGAAGTCAAGAGTCAGGCGCTTCATCTGGGTCTTCCATGTGGGTACAGGGACCCAAGCATTTGGGGGCATTTTTTACTGCTTTCCCTGGGCCCATTCGTGGGAGCTGGATCAGAAGCAGAGCAGCTGAGACTTGAACCAGTGTTTCCATAAGGGATGCTGGCACCATAGGCAGCGGCTTAACCCTCTGTACCAGGACACCAGCCCTGCAGAACACCTAGCGCCAGGTGCTCAGTCCCTCAGAGCTGCTCTCCTTCGCTTCCTCCTTTGTCCTGCTGTCTCTGCCCCTTAGCTGCTTGCATCCTCTCATTTTGTTCCCACTTAACTAGCAAGAATATGGAAGGGAAAGGGGCCGGCACTGTGGTTTAGCGGGTAAAGCCACTGCCTGCAGGGCCATCATCTCATATGGGCGCTGATTCGAGACCCGGCTGCTCCACTTCCGATGCAGCTCTCTGCTATGGCCTGGGAAAGCAGCAGAAGATGGCCCAAGCCCTTGGGCCCCTGCACCAACGTGGGAGACCCAGAAGAAGCTCCTGGCTCCTGGCTTCGGATCATCAGAGCTCCCGGCCATTGTGGCCAATTGGGGAGTGAACCAGTGGGTGGAAGACCTCTCTCTCTCTCTCTGTCTCTCTACCTCTCCTTCTCTGTGTGTGTGTAACTCTGACTTTCAAATAAATAAATAAATAAATCTTTAAGAAGAAAAAAAAAGAATATGGAAGGGAAGGACGTAATATATCGAGGAATATTTTCACAGAAAAGGTGTTCTTTTAAAATCCGTGAATAATTATAAGTTCTCAGAACCATCATTGAGGGACACACAGTTTTTTTATAGTCAAGCCTGTTGTCTATTGTCAAATAAGGTCCATGCTAACAGAAAGTATCAAAGAAACAAATGAATATGCCTATGGATGGATAAGACCATAACCTCAAAATCAGCAACCCATTTAAGCAGTTCTGCATGAAGAAGATCTTGGCACTGGAACTACAAACCATTGCCCAGAGGAATTCCAGAAGGACCGCCAGCATGAAGAACTTTAGCATGTACACGGACTGACAGGCTCAGTACTGTTAAGATGTCAGTAATGGGGGCTGGCGCTGTGGCATAGTGGGTTAAACCGCCACCTGCAGTGCCGGCATCCCATATGGACACCAGTTCAAGGCTTAGCTGCTCCATGTCCAATCCAGCTCTCTGCTATGGCCTGGGAAAGCAGTGGAAGATGGCCCAAGCCCTTGGGCCCCTGCACCCATGTGGGGGACCCTGAGTAAGCTCCTGGCTCCTGGCTTCAGATCAGTGCAGTTCTGGCCATTGCAGCCATTTGGGGAGTGAACCAGAGGACAGAAGATCTCTCTCTCTCTCTCTGCCCCTGCCTCTCTGTAACTCTGCCTTTCAAATAAACAAATAAATCTTTAAAATATGTCAAGAATAATTTATAGATTCAATGCAATCCCAATCCCAATTCCAGCAGGTTTTTTTCCTTCATAGAAATTGGCAAGGTATTCCAAAACTCCTGTGCAAATGCAAGAGACTTAGACTAGACCCAAAAAAGTCGAACAAGAAGAATAATGGAGAACTCACACTCAGGACCCGATCTCAAGACTTCATGTAAGACTGCAGTAATCAAGAGAGAGTGTCACTGGCATCGAGACAGAGAGACTATCTGCTCTGGCCCGTGTGGGCTGCTGTAAGAAAATCCACATGTGCTTCTCACAGTTTTGCAGGGTGAGAAGTCCCAGATCAAGGGGCTGGCACGTTTGATTCTTGGACTCTTCTTGTGCATGGCCGCACGCTTGCTATGGCCTCACACGGTGGAGACAGGAAGCTTGGGCACTAATCCTAGCCAAGAGCTTCTCTCTCATAAGCTCATGTAAACCGATTGAATTCCCAAAGCCTCCCCCCCCCCAAAAAAAAAAGAAAATGGTCTTGTGGGCCAGGGCTCCCATATATGACTGATGGAAAGCCAAGAAGACTCCAGAAGAAGATTCACACACAATGGCTGACTGATTTTCCACGTGGATGCCACAAGAATTCAAGGGGGGAAAAGATCACCTTTTCAACAGAGTGCTGGGAAAACTGGGTATCTATGTACAACAAAAGAAATTGTGAATTTGCCCCACACCACACACAAAATAGATCATAAATTTACATGTAAGAGTGGAATCTATAAAACTTCCCTAAGAAAAAATAGGGCAAGCTCTTAGTGATGTGAGTTTGCATAAAATATAAACTTTTAAAATCCATCATTTGGACTTCATCAAGATATTACAACTTCTGCTCTTCACAAGACACTGGTGGGAAAATGGAAAGGCAAGGAGATATTTGGAAGAAGATATTTGCAAAATACAAAGTGGCTGTGTCTATAACTCTTCAAATTTAGTAATAAGCCAAACAACATAATTAAAAATGAGCAAGGAGTTTGAACAGACACTTCATCATGGAACTGCCAAGCAAAACCACAGTGAGAGATCACCTCACACCTCCCAGAATAGTGAGAACCAGAAAGACAGACAATAAGCAGACTGGAAGAAACTGGGACCACAAAGTGACGCAACACCTTTAGACAACAGTTGGGCAGTTAAACATGACCCAGCAAGTGCACTGCCAGCTATAAATCCGCAAGAAATGAGAACATAGAAACTTGTCTACCGATGTTCACAGCAGCTTTATTTGTCATGACTAGAAACCTCAATGTGTAGCAACAGCATCCAGCAGGCATTGTGGTCCACGCATCTGATGGGATGCTACTGAGCGATAAGCACACAGTACTGACATCCCACCGGCACCAGGATGAACCTCCAGACAGCTGTGCTGAGTGAGAGGCCACACACACACACTGGCTGAGTCTACTGACACAAATTAAGCTACAGGGCAAGCAACTGGGGGCAGTTATTGTGGGGCTAGGGGCAGGGAGGGGCAGGAAGGAGGGCTTCCTGGGAGTGGAGGCCACTTTTAGGGACAATGGCTATGTTTTCCATCTTGATTGGGTGGGTTGTTTCACAGGTATACACACGTGGCAAAGCTCATGCAATTGTACACGTGAAAGATGTGGAATTTATCATGTACCTTTTGTACCTACATAGAGCTGTTAACAGAAGATAAACAAAAATCCAGTCACCTCAAATCTTCGGACAGCCTTAGTTTTCTGCCTGAATGTTCCCAGGTGCTGGAGAAGGACTAACTGTGGGGCTTCTTGAGTACAAAAGGAGACACTGTACCCCCTTGAGGGTCCAAGGCCTTGAACCTTCAGAGAAGCTGTCCAGGAATCCTGGAGGGCCCGTTTGGTGATGTCAGAGACACACATTAGGGCAGGTACCAAAAGCATGGCTAGGGTACTCCTGAGGAATGTTGGGGCCCCTGGCGTCAAAGCCATCCCCTCTCACACTGTGTCATTGTGTACTGTGGGCACACACATCGCCACCTCAGGGGCATCAGAACCATCTAGATGTCTACAGTGCACAAAACGGGTGGACCTGAATGTGCACACTCAAATGCTACAGCAATTATCATTCACATTAACTTTCTGTCCTCACTGTTAGGATCTTTCACGTTTCAGAGTTGTTGGGTTCCAGATCTTTGGCGGGTTACACCCCAGGCTCTCCACACTGCAGTTTTCATTGACCTCTTGACCTGGAATGAACACGCCACGCCCTCCCTTCTTCCCCAGGCTGTCCCAACTCAAACTTGTCCATGGCCCCGTCACTGCAAGAAGTCCCTCAACCTCCACTTCCGGTCTGGAATGCTGCCTTCCGCCCTGTACCCACGGTGGCCAGTGTGGATGCTGCTGTCTCGCCTGAAATCAGTCTCTCAAGAAACAACTGGAAGTTAGCCTGTGTTTCTCAGGAGACTGATGTGCACTTGGTTCAGGAACATGCAGGAGCAGCCTAGCCGCCCTTCCTGGTCCCAGCTGCCTATCTGCTCAGTTTAAATAATGACTTCGGCAGGCCGGTTTACCAGTTGCACGGAGAGACTGCTCCAGCTCTTGACAAGTGTGCAGAGTTTCAAAGGACCAACAAAATGCCACCTGTAGCTACCCTGCGGCACGAGCCTCATTAAGAGCAGCTAAACGAGGCCAAGCCAGAGCCGGCAAACAAAAAGATGCGCTGGCATTTCCAATGTCATTCACCTCGGGAAGCGCTGGGGGCGGGGTGCTTTCTGAGGTGAAAAAAGGCACTTCCTGGAAACAAAGCTAGCTTATACAGGACAACCAACGGCCGTGAGCCACGACCTAATAAGATTTGGTGACTTTCTGACTTGGAGGAACCCAGGCCGTCACCTACCAGAGTACTTCCTGCATCCCTGCTAGCCCTGGCCCTGACGGTCTGTGTCTCAGACAAACCCCAATTGCCCAGTCACCTCACCCGGGACTTCAAAGATTTTTCCCACGGAAAACCCAAAGTTGCAGATACTCTGGATTGCCTCATGGTAAGGCCTTGGAGACCACGGTCTGCAGCCAGGGTTCAGGATGCAAGGCTGAACACAACAGACAAGAAGGCAATCCTAGAATAAAGGGGCAGGGGTGCACTGAAAAAGACAAAAGCTCTAGAACTTTCCATAAGATAATTTAGGTAAAAATGTGTGTGTGTGTGTGTGTGTGTGTGTGTGTGTCTAAAATTTCTGGAGTTGTCTTAGTGATCGGAGCTCTGAGCAGTGTCCTGAGACAGAGTGTAAGCTCCTCTTGGGAGATCTCAGGGGTGCCCCCTGCCACCCCTCGCCCCGCCTGCCTTTGGGGCCCTCTCTGTATGACAGAGCCCCTTCCCCTGGGAGTGCAGAGGGCTGAAAGGAACCGGGCAGCTCACCCAACGCTCAGGGCCAGGACTCTGGGGAGAGCATGGGGCTCGGGGACAGGCCGGGACCTGCCAGCAGGTCTCCTCGGGCTACAGCTTGCAGTAAAGTGCCATTTGAAGGGCCCGCCCTGGGGCTGCTCCCTTCCTCCTGAGGTCTTCTCAGAGGGTTGGGGGCAGCTTTTCATTTAAGGAGTGACTCCCTGACAGTCTCATATGCAAAAAATCTGCTTCCAACATACATTATCAGCCCTGAATACAAAAACACTCAAAGCAGGCCAACCCTTCCGACATGCCAAAAATGGCCATGCACGATTTGCTTTCGGGGCCTGCTTAGTGCAAATTCCTAACCCGTCTTGCTCTCCTCCTGTCACCAGCCACAAGGAAGGCACTGGTGGGGTGGGGGGGGCAGGCTGGCCTCTGCTGGTGGGGTCTGGGGTTCGGAAGGTTGCAGTGGGCGAGTTGGGGGCATGTTGAGCAGGGGGGACAGCGAAACCAGCACCGTGAGGGACCGCTGGCAAAGGGCTCCTCTCCTCAAGAGAAGCTTCCAGAGCCCAGGAGCCAGTCTCCTGAGCCAGCTGTTGCCCACAACCACCGCAAGTCAGAGCACACCCCTGTGCCGAGCCTGCCCGGGGTCGGGAGGACCCCATCACCTAGAAGTTCTGCAGCAGCTAAAGTTCCCAGCCCTCTGCATTTATAACCTCTGAAAGGATTAAAGTGCTTTTAGTGGCAAATCCTGGGAAACCCCAGCGCTTTGTAGGGTGAGGCCATTTCTCAACTCCAAGGAACCCAGTGGGCCTGAGCTCCTGCAGCTCCCTGCCCCGGGCCAGCAGGCAGTTCTGCCCCTGAGGGCCCTGAGCACTGGGCAGCGCCTGGACCCAGCTCTGCTGGCACGGCCCCTACTGCATGCTCACCTGTGCCGCACAGCGGTGCCTGCCCCGGGCGCACGGGGTCTTGCTCACGTTTTGGGTCGTTGCCCAGTTTCTGGGCCTCAAGGCGGGACCCTGAGCTTTGCTGGTGGCGGCCGGGCAGCGACTAGCCCTCGCGGCAGCAGGGCGCCGGGGGCCACCCGCGCAGGCTTGTCGCCGCCTCCAGGGGTGCGCCGCCGCGGTTCAGCTGCGCCGAGGCCGCGGGGGCCGAGCCGCAGGGCTCACGCGTGCGTGGCTGTTTGTAGTGCCGGCGGCCGCTGAGGCCTGGCCACGAGCTGGGCCGCTGTGCACTGCCTGGTGCTTGAAGAGGTTGGCCCGGCGGCCAAACGCCTTGCCGCACTCGCTGCACTCGTAGGGCTTCTCGCCGCTGTGCGTCCGCCGGTGCTGGCTGAGGCCCGAGCGGCCGCGGAAGGCCTTGCCACACTGGACGCACGCGAAGGGCCTGCCGCCGCTGTGGCTGCGCTGGTGGTGGATGAGCTGCGACACGCCCTTGAAAGCCTTGTCGCACTGGCGGCAGGCGTAGGGCTTGCGGCCGCTGTGCGTGCGCTGGTGCTCGATGAGGTTGGAGCTGCGGCGGAAGGCCTTGCCGCACTCGGGGCACGCGTAGGGCCGCTCGCCGCTGTGCACCCGCGCGTGCTCCAGCAGCGCGAAGCTGCGCCGGAACAGCTTGCCGCACTCGGGGCACGCGAACGGCTTCTCGCCGCTGTGGATCACCTGGTGCTTGATGAGGTTGGAGCTGCGCGTGAACGTCTTGCCGCAGTCCGGGCACGCGAACGGCTTCTCGCCGCTGTGCACGCGCGTGTGCTCCAGCAGCGCGAGGCTGCGCTGGAACAGCCTGCCGCAGTCCGGGCACGCGTAGGGCTTCTCGCCGCTGTGGACGACCCGGTGCTTGATGAGGTTGGAGCTGCGGCTGAAAGACTTCCCGCACTGCTGGCACGGGTAGCGCTTCTCGGCGCCCTTGGGCAGCTGTGGCCTCGGGGCCAGGTTCTGCCCTAAGCCCTGAGGGCCTCTTTGGGCTGCTGTCCCCAAGGCGTGACTCTCCTTGCCAGCTGGAAGGTCTGTTATGGGGAGTTCTCTTCCAGAATGTTCCTGCCCTGCCTTCGGCATCTTGTTGGTTCCCCTGTCACCTGTAAGGACAATGCCACCCCTCCCTGGGTCTCTACTGAGGGCGCTATGCTTCTTCACCCTCAGGCCAAGACCGGGGAGCTAGGAGCAGCAGTGCAGGACCCTGGGGGAGAGCGCCAGATGCCCCTAGATGCCCACAGAGCAGGTGCACAGTGAACACAGGGGATGGCACTATGCCGGGGGCTCCCAGGGCGGGACATCGACCAGTGGAGAGAATTTCCCACCCTCCTCCACTTTGCGCTCCACCAACAGAAACCGCCGAGCACCCCTCACTCACCTGCACGCAGTCCTGCGGGGTCCCCCAGCCGGGGGAAGTCTGACACCCAGGGCCCCTTTCCTCGCTCCAGCTGGGACACTACGTGAGGCTTGCAGAAGGCAAATCCTGTTCGTGAGAAACGAAGCAGGGAGTCAGGAGCATTGTGGCTAAGGGCACGGAGTCACTGCTCAACCCGGATAACAAAGAATCCGCCACAAAGTGCCACCGGCAAGGGTCCCAGAGGAAGGCCAAGGGTAGCCATGCTGCTGCTTGGCCTGCAGGGAGGTCATGGAAGAAGGGCACGGGGGGGGGGTGGTGGTGGCGGGGGGCGGGGGGGCGTGGCCTAGGGAATGCCTGCCGACATGCCAATAGCCGGGAGCTCTCAAAGCTCACGATTCCAGAACTGTCTTTGGAGCCCCACAGCTACCCGGTGAGGGTCAGGAAGAAGCCAGCAGAAGCAGCTGGTCTCCCATGGGGTGAGATTTCAGTGGAGGCTCTAGGAGAGGAAAGGGAGCCATGTTCAGCTGTCAAGCCTGGGGCAGCAGCAAGGGAGATGTTTGGAAAGACCTCGGCGTGGGCTGGCTTCCAAGCCGGCGAATCCTGGCTTTGCCTTTGAATTGGCAGGGTCGCCTCTGGTCACAGGGTCATAAAGGTGGGAGATTGGGGACACGCACCCAGTGACACCAGATGACTGTAGTTCTCCAGCATCACCCGCTTGTACAGCAGCCTCTGGCTGAGGTCTAGAAGCTTCCATTCTGTCTTTGTGAAGTACACAGACACGTCCTCAAAAGATACCGGTACCTAAGAGAAGCCACATCCAGTCATCCAGTGATGGCAGGGGGATTCTGCTCCCCAGGTCCCAGGAGGAGGCGACGGCAAGAAAACCTGGCGGGGCAGGGTGCACGGCAGTGGGTGGGCTGCGGGAGGAGCCAGCTTAGGGGGCAGGCCGTGCCAGGGCCACCCACTCACCTTGGACCTCGTGGGCAACAGGATGGCCGCCATCGCCAGGGAGCCACCAAGACACTAGGGAAAGTGTACAGAGCCCCAGGTGAGACGAGTCCAGCCGGGGGCAGCTCCTGGCTGCTCGGGAGCCACTGGTGACATGTCGCACAAGCTTGGTTAGTCTTTCCTGTCCACCTGTCGCCTGCAAGGGGACACTGAGCAGGGAGAGAGCGAGGGGGCTTTCCCGGGGAGGCCCGTGGACTCAGGACCCCAGACACCCCACGGAGCACAGGCGCCACCTGCTGCTTCCTTTCTGGAAATGCCCCCTGGGGTCCTTAAAGCAGCATCCATGGATTCTCTCCCAGGTCTGGAGGCCACAAGTCAAAGATGTAGGCACTGGCAGGGCCTTGTGGGCACAGGGAGAGTCACTCTCACAGCACGAGCACAGACAGCACGCAATGGGCACAAGGGCCAGCAGTCACCAGGGCCGCGTGCTTCTCCATGTCAGTTCTCATGGCCAGGAGCCAGCTGGGCAGGCAGATGTTATTCCTATCTGTCTGGAGAGTGCAACATGGAAGTCCCAGGCAGAGGAGCAGGTGCGCCAGGCAGCAGCTGGAGGGTGCTTTGACAAACTGTTTTCTGCAGGGAGAAAGAAGGGAAAGCGAGAGAAGGAGGGCTGTGTGGTGGATGGAGTGCAGAGAGAGAGAGGGTGTGAACAGGAGGCGGGGATGGAAAGCGGACACAGAGGGGACTTGGGGACAGAGAGGGTGGATGGAGAGAAGAGGAGACAGAAAGAGGGGGACAGGTGGAGGGGGCACACAGACATGGGGATACACAGAAGGAAGCAGAGTGGAGGACAGAGAAGAGGAAAGAGAGAGATACGGGAACATAGAAGGTGGAAGAACAAAGAAAAATGGCAGGACAGAGATAGGGGACAGGCAGGGGGACAGACAGAGGGGGCATAGAGAGACAAAAGTGGAGACAGGGCCGCCGCTATGATGTAGCGGGTAAAGCTGCCACCTGCAGTGTCAGCATTCCATATGGGAGCCCATTTGAGTCTTGGCTGCTCCACTTCCGACCCAGCTCTCTGCTATGGCCTGGGTAAGATGCCCAAGTCCTTGGTTTCCTGCACCCGCAAGGGAGACCTGGAAAAAGCTCCTGGCTCCTGGCTTCGGATCAGCTCAGCTCCTGCCATTACAGCCAATTGGGGAGTGAACCAGCGGATGAAAGGCCCCTCTCTCTCTGTGTAATTCTTTTAAATAAATAAATAAATCTTTAAAAAAAAGTGGGGACGGAGTGGTGAGACAGAAATGGTAGGGGAAAGACAGAGAGGGAGAATGAAGACAGAGAGAGAGGGTACAGGGAGAGATTAGGGACAGAAAGGTTGGGAGAGTGAGGAGAGTGAAACACAGAGGGATAGAAGGTGAGACAGGGAGAGAAATAGAGGGGGTTCAGAGAGAGAGAGAGGGCAAGGACAGAGATCAAAGTGGGAATAGAGAGGGGGAGAGTGGGAATAGAGAGGGGGAAGATGACAAACAGGGAGGGGGACAGAAAGATAGAACAGGGAGAGGGGGTATGGAGAGAGAGAAGGTGACCTAGACAGAATGGGGACAGATATAAAGAGGGGGCTACAGGGAGGGAGATGGTTGGGACAGGGAGAAAAGGGGCTGAAGAGAGAGAGGGTGGGGACAGAGAGGGAGAAGAGATGAGGGTACAGAGCAAGGAAAGACACAGGGGGGAAGAAAGAGAGGGGGAGGCCAGAGAGAGGTGGACGCAGAGTGAGGGAGAGAAGGGAGAGAACAAGGGAGCCGAGAGATTGTAGAAATGGGGGGGGTGGAGGGGGAGAACAGAGGGAAGAGAGAGGAGGGACAGAGAGAGGGAGGCAGGAGAGGGGACATGAAGAGGGGACAGAGAGAAGGGGACCAGCCAAGTTGCTGAGGGTACAGAGAGGGGGACGCAGAGAGAAGGGTGACAGAGAATGATGGGACAGAAAGAGGGACATGATGGGGGGCACAGAGACAGGGTGGGGACCAAGAGAGAGAGGGGGACAGAGAGAAACAAGGGATGGGGCAAACGGAGAAAGTGGTGCAGAGAGAAGGGGGAACAAAGAGAAAGGGGGGTCATAGAGAGGAGGGACAGAGAGTTGAGGGGGGAAAAAGAGAAAGGAACAGAGACAGACAGTGGGAGACGGGGGGGGGCAGAGACAGCAGGTTACAGAGAGGTAGGGAGGGGAACAGAGAGAGGCAAGGGGGCGAGGAGAGAGAGAGAGAGAGAGACAGAGAGAGGGGGGGAGAGGGAGAAGGGGTGATGGAGGATAGAGAGGGGCTGGGACAGAGATGGAGAAGACAGAGGGAGGGAGAAAAACAGAGGAGGGGTGACAGAGAAAGGGGGAACAGATGGGGGGCAGAGAGCCGGTAGGGACAGAAAGATGGGGACAGAGAGAGAACGGGTGACAGAGAGCCAGGGGGTGGGGCAGAGTGGAAGAGGGGGCACAGAGGGTAGGGTGCAGCAGAGAGAGAAGTGGGAACAGAGAGTGAGGCGAAAGACAGTGGGAAAGAGGAGGGAGGGAGGACAGAGAGCGAGTGAGGGGTGGGACTCTCCGAGCATAGGCACAGCTACGGTATTCACCTGGGGCTTACGTTCTTTATTTTGTTTGCTAGGCGGGGAGACCTAGGCACCATGATGAGGCCTGGGGACCTACCAGGCGGTGTCTCAACAGCTGCCACAACGCCTTAGTACCTGCGACATCTGTGCTGCTTCTGATGACAGTTTTCAGTCATGAGGAACAAAAGGCTCCTTTCAAGGTGGAACGACACTACTGGAAGCTTTAGGTGACAGCCTGAGGGTGACTGCGACATCTCCTCTGAGTGTTTGCTGTTGGCAGTGGGAGTGGTGAGAAGCACTCTTGCCAAGTGACATTCCTCAAGGGTTGTGGGGACAAAGGCACCAGTTTGACGCCACCAGGAAGCAGCCCAGGGTAGGCTCGGGCACATGTGCGGGAGCCGGACAGGAAACCAGAGATCAGTAACTCTCACTCCTTAGAGAACTCACTCAGGGTCCCGTAAGGACCTCCCCAAGAGCGCCACACAGAGGAGCAGGCCTGCAACATGCATGGACTGTGGGGCTCACCCGGCAACCATATTTAAACCATGGCAGATGAAGGCTGTGGACCTTTTTCCTGCCGGAGGCCATTTGGCTATCTAGCACTTCATACACAGGCCATACAAAATGAGCAACTTCAACATTAGCCGGCCGTCAGTTTACTGAATCGCAAGTCCTGCCTGTACTGGCCTTGGCAGGGCCAGACCAAATGGTTTTGTGGTCTTCCACGGCTGGCGGGTCACACGTTCCCCAGCCCTGAGGACTGCAGGGGATCGCACGTGCTCGGGGACTTAGGCAGATGATGGAAGAAAATGGCCTTTTTTTTTTTTGACAGGCAGAGTGGACAGTGAGAGAGAGAGACAGAGAGAAAGGTCTTCCTTTTGCAGTTGGTTCACCCTCCAATGGCCGCCGCGGCTGGCGCGCTGCAGCCAGCGCACCGCACTGATCCGATGGCAGGAGCCAGGTGCTTCTCCTGGTCTCCCATGGGGTGCAGGGCCCAAGCATTTGGGCCATCCTGCCACAGCAGAGAGCTGGCCTGGAAGAGGGGCAACCGGGACAGAATCCGGTGCCCCGACCGGGACTAGAACCCAGTGTGCCGGCGCCGCAAGGCGGAGGATTAGCCTAGTGAGCCACGGCGCCGGCCAGAAAATGGCCTTTTAAAGACATGCATATGGAAGCATTTGTGGAGGAGACAGCCGGCAACATACTTGAAGACATTTCAGTGCAGACATAAAAACAGCAGAAGCAGAAGAAAGGATGAACCACACGTGGAAGCAACCCGAGTGGCCATCAACCGATGGATGACAAGAGAAAGCAAATATGGTGCCTGTACGCAGTACTGTTTGTCCCGCACACGTGTCACAGCGTACGCGACCCCAAGGACACTGTGGTAAGTGAAGAAAGGCAGACACACTCGGAAGGCCACATGGCGCGTGACTGCACAGCTGTGATGTAACACGCTATTTCACAACAGCCGTCTCCACCCAGTTTTGAAGCTGTGCTGGCCAGTCTGCTGAATCCCTTCCCCAGACTGCACTTCTCCTTGGCCCACCACACTCTGGGGCCAGGAGCCAGACCCTTGGGCACAGTCGCTATACTCTGGAGCCCACCTGCAAGCACCTGAGAACCCCGGCCACCTTAGCCACAGGCCATCTGCAGAGTGCCCCTCCAGCTCCAGGCCCCTCGTTGGGCCCCGCCCCACCCCTGGGCGTGGCCCCCGTGTGCCCCGCCTCATAGCCTCCTCTCTTGCAGGGCTGCAGGCAGCAAAGAATTCCGCTTTTCGTCTTGTCCAATGGTAAGGGTGCTCCATTGGCAGGTGCATGCTGTGCCAGCCAAAAAACTGGTACACTGTATCAAACATAGGACGTGTCCAGAACAGGCCGGTCCACAGTGTCTGGAAGCAGATCGGTGCTTGCCAGGGGCTAGGGCACAGCAGACTGGGGAGAAACTGCTGATGGGTATTGGCTTCACGTGTGGGGTGAAGAAAGGTTCTAGGGAATTCTATGTGTTTTCAATCTAGAATAAAATGATCATTTTGGAAAACAGCATAAGCCTATTTATTTATTTATTTAGCCACCACAACCGCAGGCTCAATATGCACTTTGGAGGTCTCCGCAGGAGGCATCGTGGCACAGCGTGAGTGACTCCTCCACCGCCGCGCGCAGGGAGACTGAGTGAGCCAGGCGGCCACACTGAGGGAAAGATAAGACAGGACCGAGAGAGACAGATGGTGAACTGCAGCGAAACTGCAGCCTTCTGTGCCATCCCAGCAGGTGTCCACTAGATGGCACGGCTTCCCCAGAAAAAGAAAAAGCCAGGCAAACATGCAGAAAAAGCATCCAGTAACGTCACTGATGTTGCATCAGGAATTTGGGCTTTTGCATCCACGAGGAGAGCCTGGCGGGGCCACTTTGGTGAGGTTTCTTCCTTCCTGGTGGAACTTCTCTGGGGTCCAGCAGCTCAAGACCCTGACTGCCCCCTCTCTGTCCCACCAGCTTTCCCAGGCCTGAGGTCCTTGTCACCTGCTACCCATCTGGTGGTGCAGCCAGGGAGGGAGATCTGAGGGAGCCAGAGCTGAAGTCAGGCCTGGGCGCGCTGTCACTCCCACCCTGTGCCTCCCTGGAGCCTGCACAGAGCAGCTCCCCTGTCAATGGCTTTCCAGGTGTCACCCCCTGTGGAGGCAGGGCTGACCTGGAAAAGTGATCCTCCGGGCTGGCGGGGCGGGTCCTTTGCCACCCACATGGCTTTTTCTGAGCTCGCCCTCTTTTTCAAATGAGACAGTCTGCTCACACTACTCAAACTTTCCACCCGACTTCCATTCCCTCTCTCCCCCTCGCCCACCTTCCCTGGTGCTGTCACTTGTCAACACTCTCCCCACCCATTACTGCAGGAGCACAATCTGGGGCTCCTCTGGGATGGTGGCTGTGATCAGCTGGCCCGGTGTTCTTGGATAACAGTGCCACGACCTCATGGTGTAGGTGTGGCTGGTGTTTCCACACCCGGACGGGTAAAATCCAGACTTATCAGGCAGAGGAGTGGCCGGATGCTCTTCGACCAGCCCTAGCCCAGCCGCTGAAAATCAACCAGAGAGATAAGGGCAAAACCCAGGCGCCCACCCCACCCAGGCTGACCCAGCAGCCTTGGCACTCTGTCAGTGCTCTGCCGCCTCCAGGGGCGACCTCGACTGTCCCCTGCCGCGGCTGCTCCCTTGCCCTCCTTGTCACCTGTCCCCACCTTCCACAACCCCCGCCGAGATGGTCCCAATCCGTTCCCCCGGCAACCCTACTTCGTGGGGGCGTACCTGGGCTTCACCGATGGCCGGGGCTGTAGGCCTCCCCTCCCGCCCCCTGGCAGGCCCGATCAAGGCCGCCGCCTCCGAGAAGCCCTCCGGAACGACGTCCGCAGGAGGCGGGGTGGAGTGGGGTGGGGCTTCTGGCCAGGTCTCCACCCTGGCGCTGGCCGCTGCTTAGGAGGCCCGTGTTGCCCCGCTGTCTGTTTGTCCCGCGACAAGCTGGACTGGGAGCGGGCGGGGCCCAGGCGACGGCGGAGTGGGAACTGGACTCGGGGAGCGCGGCGGCGGCGGCGGCCGGGGGGGGGGGGGGGGGGGCAAGGAGCATGCGCGGTGCGGTGGGAGGGCGGCTGGCCCGCTCCTTCCCCACAGGGGCGTCTGGCCAGACTCCTCGCTTACCCTAGGGCACTTTCGCTTCCCATGTGGGCTGCTGGGAGGCGTCGGGCCTCGGGGATCAGCGCCCTGAGGTTCGGAGGACGCAGGGGGAGGGGCCAGAGTCCCGGGTGCTGAGCCCGCACCTTCATCTGTCCGTTTCTCTGGGGACCATGAGCCTCTGCGGGGAAGCTACCAGAAAGTGGCCAGGTTATGGTCACCCAGAAAATGGGGGTGGGGAACTTGGGGAGACCGATGCATGGAGATGGGAGGCAGACACTCTCCATGCAGAGTGGACATCAGTGTCCCGTTTTGCCACAGGTCATGGTCCTCGGGTGAAACTGGGGTTGAACCAGGGCTGACGGACACTTGTGGGGCCCTTGAGGAAAACTTAGGAGCATCGGAAAACCTGCGAAAGACAAGCAGCAAAGCGAAAGCAGCAAACCCCCGACCCAGCCCTCCGCCGCAGCCAGGCTGTTAGGAATAGGGCGCCCGCTGGGCACCTCCTGGCCTGGTCTCGGGGCTGTCCCTGCCTCAGGAAACCAGAGCTGGGGTTACTGCCCTCCAGCCACGGGCAACCAGTGCTCCAGTACAGCAGCTGTCCTGCCCAGGTCTGGGGCAGAGCTGCCCCCACCTCTGTGAGCACAGATAACGGTCACAGGGCCCAAGGCGGACCCCAGGGCCCCCAGTTCTGTGTCCTGAGGCCCAGGGTTTCTTTTTGCTTTTTAAGATTTATTTATGTATTTGAAAGTTACACTTACAGACCGGGGCGGGGGGTCTTCCATCTGCTGGTTCACTCGCCAGGTGACTGCACTGGCCAGGGCTGAGCCAGACAGAAGCCAGGAGCCAGGAGCTTCCTCCAGGTCTCCCACGTGGATGCAGGGCCCCAAGCACTTGGACCATCTTCCACTGCTTTCCCAGGCCATAGCAGAGAGCTGGATTGGAAGTGGAGCAGCCGGGACTCGAACTGGCGCCCATGTGGGATGCAGGCATGGTAGGCGGTGGCTTTGCCCGCTACGCTGCAGCAGTAGCCCTCTCGAGGCCCACGTTTGTTCCCTCCTTGGAGTGCGGGCTGGATAGGCCTGGGCTGAGTGAGATGTGGTGGGGTGGACGGTGCCCCCACCGAGGTACATCCTACACTAAACCTGGGCGCTGGTTCGGGTCTGTGCTTTGTAGGCGAAAGGGCTCTTCAATGAAGGACGTGGCGAGCAGACCGTACGACATCATCCAGGTGGGCATCCATGACAGGCGCCCTCCCAGGAGACAGGCAGGAGACAGGGCCCCGGGCAGATGGAGCCAGAGGCGGGGTGACGCAGGCATGGGGACACCCAGAGCTACCAGGAGGAGCTGGCACCCCGACTTTGGGCTCTGGCCCCCAGGCCTGGACGCCCACACTCCTGTTGTTGAGAGCCACTGGGTTTGTGCTCATCTGTGGGGGCTGCCCCAGGACCTGCACCCTCAGGGGAGGGGGCTGGGACGCTGCACCTGCACCTTGCTCTTGTGGGCTGGTGGCGGGGGCAGCCCCGGCCCGGCAGCACCCGAGAGCGGAGCAGCCGCCCTCCGTGGGAGCTGGGGGAGGGGCCTCAGGCCGGGCCGGGAGTGCTCCCCGCACCCGCCGTCTCTGGCCGCCGGGGCCCAGCCTCCTGCCCGTGGGGGCTTCTCTGTGGAGCTCTGAAGATCCCTGGCCAACCTAGCTCGGGGCCCGGGCGACAGGGCCAAACCAGTGGCTCCAGGATGGAGAAACCCCCCTTCCAGAATTTTCCACACTCTATTAGGAAGAATTTCAGACACACGCCAGGCCTGAGAGAGTGGGGGTCCACAAGCCACCGTGGGCACCACAGCATCAGGCCTGGCCATCTCTGGCCACCTTTCTCCACCACCTGCCTGCTGGGCCCTGGAACCTTCTCCGAGAGTTGGGGACAGGTCCTCGCGGGCAGCAAGCCCAGGCTGGGTCCCTTGCCTGCCCCAGTTAGGGCAGGGCAGCGGCGTGCACAGCCTGGGGACCCACAGGGATGCCCCCAGCTACCCAGGCCAGCTCCCAGCCCCTGCCAATCCCCCCCGGGGAGGAGTCTCTTGAATGGCAAACCCACATGTAGAAAGTGGGGAGGAAGAGTAGGGACGGGGTGAGGGGACCGCCCTGTGTTGTTCTGCTCATGAGGGCTGCCCTCCATGTCTGTTCCCCTCTTGTCTGAGGTTGGCTGCTGACGGGTTGCTGGGGTCCAGGGGAACAGGCGCTTTCCGGGCCAGGTGCTGCCCTCTGTGCCACAGCCAGGGCCCTCGCGGGCCAGTGGGCAGCAAGGCACCCATTGAAGCCACCTGGCCAGGGGCCTTAGCAGGGAGCAGCTGGAGGAGGAGCCAGGGTAAGGCCCAGCCCACTGAGGGAAGTGAGGGAGCCCCCGAGAGCTGGTGTGGGGCCATGGACAGCCACCAGCACTGACTGAGGGCATCGGCACGCACTGGGCGCTCGTGTGGGGACAGGCCGTGGGGCTGGATGGGGTGAGCAGTTTCTGGATCAGGCAGAGGAAGGGACTGTCCAAGCCGCAGTCCCTGGAGACAGTGGCTGTGGGGGAGCAGCACTTGGCATTGCCCCAGGTCACATGGGCTGCTCCTTGACCTGGCACTTGGCTCTGAGAAGCAAGTGGCCCATTCCTGGTGCTTCCCCCCACCCCCACCCCGAGCCCTCTGAGGCCTGGGGGGCCAGTGGGGGTTGGTAGCGTCCTGCCTGGGTGGTGGGAAGGAGCCATCCTCACTCCTCGGAGCTGCAGGCCAGCAGGCAGCGGCACCAGGAGGTGGCTGTGTACCTCCTGTGCGCGCTGCAGGGTCTCTGCTCCCTGCAGTTTCCGGAGGGAAGCTGTCCCTTTCCCTCTGCTGTCCGTCATTGGTGTGGCTATCGTTACCCTTCACTGTCCTTCCCAGGATGTCCCGAAACTGCCTTCACCAAGCCCTCCTTCCCCCTGTGACCCCAGCCGTCCCCGGCACACCCCTCTCCCCAGCTGCCTCACTGCTGTACAGGAGACGACGTCTTCCCACCGGCCACTCCGGCCATTGGATTCCGGCTGCCCCCTGGAGGTGGGTGAGGGGCTATTAGTGTCAGGCCGACCGTGTGCTCCCTGCTCCTGCCCGGGGAAAGAGAATTTCTGTGTGGCAGAGTCGGAGTCCGTGGCTCAGACCCACCCACTGACAGTGGCCCCGGGAACGCTATGTGCAGTGTTGCTTGCACTGCTCAGGGATTCAGGGAGTGGCAAGGGGGCTATGAAAGCCTGAGGCGCTTGGGGGAGGGACAAACACTTGGACAAAAAGAAGGTCCCCTTGGCAAGGAAGGAGGGGAGAATTGCTGTTGGGAGGGCAGTCAGCAAGGTCCAGTCCTCCTGCAGGTGACGGGGACACAGCCGGGAGGATCATCAATGGTGAGGACCCAGAGAGCTATCCAGCACTGCCAAGCTGTCCTGAGCCGCCCAGCCTCAGGCCGACTTGGAGCCAGGCTGCTGCTTGCCTGTGCCCTGGTCCAGTGAGGCATGTCTGTGAGTGGAGTTGTTCTTGGCTCCCCTGAAACTCTGCATGGTGCGCCGATACCGCACCGAGGGCAGACCTCTCCTCCAAGTTCCTGGCCTTTGTGCTTGGGCTGCCTTATTGCCATCTCCGCTAGCTGCTTCCAGAGCCACAGGCACAGGTGAACTCGGGACTGTGCCCCCGAGCAGTGCTCTGCCTGAGGCCCCTCTTCAGGGAAAGGAAGCCCCCTTGCTCACGCTGCACTTTCCGTCATGCCCATCTACTCTGTGATGCTGCCATCATGGTGAGGGGGCTGTGCTCATGAAGCGGCCCCTTAACTGCCCCTCGCCAGTCTTCCCTGCATCCACCCAGACCCTCACACAATTTCTCCCTGAAAAGGCCAAGGAAAGAAAAGCACAAGTATTCGTATATATGACAGTAAGTACAACATTCATTTGTTCAAATAGGCGATCATGTCAGTCACTACACCATCTGGTCTCTCAAGCTTCAGTACATGAATCATACTCTCTCTCTCTCTCTCTCTCTCTCTCTCTCTCTCTCTCTCCCTCTCTCCATCTCTCTTTGAGCCACATCAGCCATCTTTTAGTCCAGCTCTCACTAAGTCCCTTTCAGCCCCAGGACCTTTGCTCATGCAGGTCGCTCACCTGCTGTGTAGCCCACCTTCCAAAAGAGGAGTGAAGAATGTCAGGTGTGCATTCTCCTGGCTTCCCTCGCAGCCGGGCCACAGGCACATGGCCAGACAGCTGCGCCCACTGCTGAGTTACTCTGAGGCCTGCGATGGGAGAAGCACGGACCCCAGCTGGGTAGGCTGGCAGCGGCAGGGGCAGTGCCACCTGTTTCCCGAGGAGCTGTGGCAGCTGGGGCACTGGAGGCAGCGTGTGGAGTCCTGCAGGGTCTGTGCCTCGTCATGGGTGGGAGCCGCGGGGGACGGGACCCTTGCTCCTCTCTGCAAAGCACCCAAGCTGGCTTCCCCCACCCTCCCGAGATGCGGGTGGGGTGCCCCGTGGCTGTTCCCTTTGCACCTCCATCAACCAGTGTGTTTTTGCTGGGCGCCACTAAGAGCTGCGAGGGACCAGTCTCTGCAGATGCCATCTGAGCTGCTGGTGCCTGAAGTGCCCCTCCCTGGGCCAGCTCAGCGACACCACTTACCCTTTGCTCGCTTCTTAGTGCCCAGCCAGCATCCCCGCCCCCCCCCCCCCCGGCAGTGGTTCATGGGCTCCTCTTACCCAGCCTGCCTTTAAACTGCTGGTTCGTTATTGGTTAGGAATGCTCGGAGGCTCCCTGTTGCCTATCGGATGGATGACACAACCTCAAGTGCCACCCGATGGTCTCTCTGTGGGTGACTTTTGGTGCCATTTACTGAAACGGTGCTTCTCAGAGAGTGGCCTTGCGGGGAAATTTTTGGTCCTGCTGGAAGCTCGTATGCCCGAAGGGACTATTACAGTGTGAGTTGTCTAACCAACTACCCCCTGTAGTTTGGCTGGAAAGTTCTGGCTTAGCGTGGTTCACAGGGTGACTGCCAAACTGTCACCCAGGGCTGCAGGCTCTGAAGACATGGCTGGGGCTGAGGGAGCCACAAGCTCACTGACCTGGATGCTGGCTCAGTTTTTTTGTTTTTAAGATGTATTTATTTATTTGAAAGGCAGACTTACAGAGAGGCAGAGAGAGAGAGAGAGAGAGAGAGAGAGAGAGAGAGAAAGAGAGGAGAGGTCTTCCATCTGCTGGTTCACTCCCCAATTGGCCACAATGGCTGGAGCTGTGCCAATCCAGAGCCAGGAGCCAGGAGCTTCTTCTGGGTCTCCCACGTGGGTGCAGGGGCCCAAGCACTTGGGCCATCTTCTATTGCTTTCCCAGGCCATAGCAGAGAGCTGGATTGGAAGTGGAGCAGCCAGGACTAGAACTGGTGCCCATATGGGAAGCCAGCACTGCAGGCGCTGCTCTATGAGCTACTCCACAGCGCTGGCCCCAGATGTTGTTGGCTTTTAAGGGAATCATTTCCTCCCCCACATGAGTCTCTCTACAGAGCTGCCCACAGCAAAGATCCCCACAGGGACACTGACCATGGGAGAGTGAGAAAGAGAATGGTGAAGGGGAGAAGAGAGAGGGAGAGAGGCAGAGAGACAAAAGGAAGAGAGAGACACCCAAGGTGCTAACCTATGGTTGGTGGTTATATCCCTTGGGCCTAGAGTACCGTGAGAACTCCCAAAACTAGCCAGAGCCACTAGAACTAATTATTATTATTTTTTTTGACAGGCAGAGTTAGACAGTGAGAGAGAGAGAGAGAGAGAGAGAGGTCTTCCTTTTCCATTGGTTCATCCCCCAAATGGTCACTACAGCTGGCGCACCGCGCCGATCCGAAGCCAAGAGCCAGGTGCTTCTCCTGGTCTCCCATGGGGTGCAGGGCCCAAGCACTTGGGCCATCCTCCACTGCACTCCCTGGCCACAGCAGAGAGCTGGCCTGGAAGAGGGGCAACCGGGACAGAATCCGGCACCCCAGTCAGGACTGGAACCCAGGGTACCGGTGCCGTAGGCGGAGGATTAGCCAAGTGAGCCACAGCGCCTGCCTAGAACTAATTATTGATGATGTCTGGGATAATATAGTACTAACTTATTCGGAGAAATAAGAAAATGTCTGTTCCCCCCCCACCCCAACCACCACCAGGAGAAAAAAAGCGTTGAATGGATGTCAACCCTTGCATGATCCTGATATTGTATTTTGCACTGTTTTAGAATGTGCTTAAGGAGGCAGGAGCTTGGTGCAGTGATTAAGACACCACTTGAAGGGCCAATGCTGTGGTGTAGCAGGTAAAGCCGCCACCTGTAGTACCAGCATTCTATATGGGCTCTGGTTTGAATCCTGCCAGCTCCACTTCTGATCCAGTCCTCTGCTAATGCACCTGGGAAAGCAGTGGAAGTGGCCCAGGTATTTGGGTCCTTGCACCCACGTGGGAGACCCAAAGGAGGCTCCTGGCTCCTGGCTTCAGATTGGCCTAGCTGTGGCTGTTGTGGTCATTTGAGGAGTGAACCAGTGGATGGAAGATCTCTCTCTCTCTCTGTAACTCTGCCTTTCAAACAAATACACAAAAAGGAAACTTCTTAGAATGTCCACATTCCATATCAAAAGTGCCTGGTTCTAGTAGGCAGCAAGTGATAGTTCAAGTGGTTGTTCTCTGCAACCCCCATAGGAGACCTGGATTGATTTCTGGGCTCCTGGCTTTGGCTTGACCCAGCCCTCACTGTTGTAGGTATTTGGAAGCCAACAAACAGATATAAGGGCTCTCTTTGTCTTTGTCTATATCTCCTTGATTTTCAAATAAAAATAAATAAATAAATACATAATTAAAAATAAAATATGGATATAAATCATGCTAATAATGAATTTTTTAAACTTTTATTTAGCAAATATAAATTTCCAAAGTACAGCTTATGGATTACAGTGGCTTTTTGCCCCCATAACTTCCCTCCTGCCCGCAACCCTCCCAACTGCTGCCCCCTCTCCCATTCCATTCACATCAAGATTCATTTTCAATTATCTTTATATACAGAAGATCAATTTAGTATATATTAAGTAAAGATTTCATCAATTTGCACCCACACAGAAACACAAAGTGTAAAATACTGTTTCAGTACTAGTTATAGCATTAATTCACACTGAACAACACATTAAGGACAGAGATCCTACATGAGGAGTAAGTGCACAGTGACTCCTGTTGTTGACTTAACAAATCGACACTCTTGTTTATGGCATCAGTAATCTCCCTAGGCTCTAGTCATAAGTTGCCAAGGCTATGGAAGCTTTTTGAGTTCACCGACTTCGATCTTATTCAGACAAGGTTATAGTCAAAGTGGAGGTTCACTCCTCCCTTCAGAGAAAGGTACCTCCTTGTTTGATGGCCCCTTTTGGCTAAGATCAAGTGTAGTATCTGTTCTTATCAGTTTAATAATGAATTTTTTAAAAAACATTTATTCTATTTGAAAGGCAGAGTCACAGGAGAGTGAGAGAAAGAGAGAGGAAGGGAGGGAGGGAGAGAGAGAGGGGTGGGAGATATCTTTCACCCACTGGTTCACTACTCAAATGACTACAACTGCCAGGGCTGGGCCAAACTGAAACCAGGAGCCAGGAACTTCCTCTGGGTCTCCCACATGGGTGTACAGGCGGAAGCACCTCAACCATCCTCTGTTGCTTTCCCAAGTACATTAGCAGGGGGCTGGATCAAAGTGGAGCAGCTGGGACATGAACGCAGCTGCCCATATGCAATGCCAGCATCGTACACAGCGGCTTTACCTGCTATGTAATAACTGTCCTGTCTCATAATGAATTTTTACAAATAGGAAATGTAAGAAGGGAAAACTATTGAAACTATCCAATTCTAAATTCTAGAACTGAAAAATATAGTGTATGAAGCGAAAATTTCATGGTATGGTCTTAATAGCAGATTGTAGACAAAAAAGGAGAAAGTCATAAACCTGAATATAAATAAGTAGAAATGATCTATTGTGAAAAACTGAGAGTACAAAAGATTTTTCTAAAATATGAAAGCAACAGAACCACAGTATTCTGTGGAACAACATAAAAAGGTTTCACAAACGTGCATATGCAATCCCACGTGCGTGGAGAAGAGTGGGGAAGAAGAAAGTCTATTGGAGAAAGAGTGATTGAATCGTCCAGGGTATGGAGGTCGATGGGATTTACAGACTCAAGAAGCTCCGTGAACCCCTGAGAAGGCCAAGTGCAGGGAGAAGCGACAGGCAGACGCTGCGGGCAGAGTTCTGAGAGCAGGGGACAAAGAGGAGCTGTTGAAATCAGAGTAAAATCAAACACTACAGATACCAGGACACTAATAAGATGATCCATTGAGTTCTCAGCAGAAACAATGAAAGACAAGGGACAGTGGCCTTTATTAAAGTGCTGAAAGAAAACGTTTTCTACCCGGAAGTCTATATCTGCATCCAGGGAAATTTTTTCAAGAATGAAACTAAAATAAGAACATTTTGAGATAGATGTAGCTAAAAGAATTTTTAAGAGGTCTTCACTAAAAGAAATAGTAAAGGTAATATTTCAGTCTAAGAAAAAGGGAAATATTGATTTTTGGGTAGAAATGAAGAATACCATATTAATATTAAATAATATTCATGTTAATTTCTTCATAATACATTATAACAATTTAAAGTAAAAATTTAAATTAATAGTGTATTTTAGGGTTTACAACATATGTAGATATACAATATATAACAACCACAGCATAGAGGATGGGATGCAGGGGGAATGAATGTGTACAATGGACAGGTTTTTATATTTATGTGAAATAGTGCAATACAAATCATAGGAAAAGAGTGAAAATATATGCAACATATATTGTAACACCTATTCACAATTCAAAGTGGCATTGGTAAATAGGCAATAAATAAATTAAAATTTGATTAACCTAGGGAGGAAAGGATGAACATAGGAATAAAAATGGATATGACTGTCAATAAAATAATAGACTGAAATCTAATCATGTAAAAATTACATTCAATGTAAATGAGCTAAACATTCCAATTGAGAAGCAGAGATTGTCAGAATGGATGAAAAAAAAAGCAGGACTTTTGCTATCTACAAGAGATTGAATTTAAATATAAAGACTTAAAATGTAGAAATAAAATAAGGGTCAATTAATCAGGAACACATGAAAATATTGGTTTTCCATTCAAAAACAGAGCTTCCAAATACATGAAACAAAAGTTACCAGAATAAAGACAGAAATAAGTATTTCTACAATTATAGTTGGAAGTTTTAATATTTATGCCTCAGCAATTGATACAATTAAAAACCAGTAAAAATGTAGAATATGTTTGCGAGATTATCAATGATAATGGAGAGCAAACATTTTATTTGCAAAAGATTATTTGAAAGGCAGAGTTATAGAGAGAGGCGGAGAGAGGGAGGCAGAGAGAGAGAGAGAGAGAGAGAGAGAAATCTTCCACCTACTGGTTCATTCCGTTCCCAAATGGTCGCACTACTGCTTTGCAGGCATAGTAATAGGGAGGTGGATTGGACATATTGTGGCTGGAATATGAATTACTCATACGCGGTCACGGCGTGGCAGGCAGCGACTTAACCCGCTAAAGCACAACACCCGCCCCTCCTTCTGCAAATTTAGGCCCCCAACGCCACGAGACTGTTGGTAGGCCATTTCACTGGTGGAAGACCAATCGTGTGCTTGGTGTTCTTGGAAGCTCCCAGGCTTGTTACAGTGAGTCTTTACCATTTATACTTGAGTGCTGCGGGCGGCTCATTACGTGTTCTGCTGATCCAATCATTTGCTTGTGGAGAGGTACCGAGAACTTTCTCTGCGATTTGCCTGAGGTTGTTGGGAGAACCAGGGGTTTCTGGGAGCCCAGGCGACTGTTAGCGCAGAGGTGTTGGGCGACTGACGCCGTTCCTGGCCTGTGTGACTGAGGCGAGTTCTTGAGGCCCTTCTAAGTGGACTGCGGGGTTGTGTGCGGAGTTTAGAAGGCGAGTGGACAGCCAGCAACTCCACTGGAGCCCAGGGTTGCTCTGGGACTCCAATGGAGCATCTTGGCTGCATGGGTAGGGCACGAGTGGGGGCTGGGGGAGTAGGTGCAGGGTGTTTCGTGCTTGGTTTTGGTAGCGGGGCTGTGGGGGTGGACAGACCGGAGAGCTCCCAGCCCTGGGGCCTTGCTGACAGGACTTGGGCCCAGAGGAAGAGGAAGGACTGAGAGGACAGCTCGCAGAAGCGTGGTGCCGCTAGACGGGAGCTCTGGCCACTGGCTGTCGGCTCAGGGGAAGGGGGCGCTTTGTGAAGGGGCGGGAGAGTGAAGCTCCTGGCCAAGTGTGGAGGGTCTGGGACGGTGTGCGGGCCACCGGCCGCCTAGGGGGCTGGGTTGTGGCGGGAAAACACGCTTAGCGGCCGAGCGTCTGGGCCGGGAACTGGGGGCGGGGAAGGGCACCAGTTTTGGGGCGCCCGTTGATAAACGGAGGGATATGGCTGCGGCGTGGGGAGTCCCGAAAGGAAGGGCTCCCCGAGGCGGTCCGCTTTTGAGGAGAGGACGCCATGGCCGCCATAGGCGCAAACGCTAGGGCTCGTGGGTGGGCACAGTCAGACTGGGCCAGGTGCCCCACAGGCCGCGGTGCGCGTGAGCGAAGACGGCGGAGGACGCCAGGCTGCAGGCGTCGGGGTGGGGGGTGGGCTGGGCGTGGCAGACGGATCGCAGCGGGTGGTTGGGTGGGGGGTTGGGGAGTGCGGGAGCTGAGCGAGCCCAGCTTGGGAGGGCGATAGGGGCGGGTACTGGTTCCAGGTGTGGGGAGCGCGGCGTGGTGGTGGGCACGTGCTCGGTGGTTTGGGGAGGTCCCAGAGGAGATGCAGTCATCCAAGTCTGCGGGAGCGCACTGCTTCCTGGGGCCAGACGGCACGTGCATTGGGAGGCGCGCTGGGGGGTGCAGCGTGGGATGGGACGGTTATGGGGTGCCGGGAGCTAGCTACGCTGGAAGGGGAACAACGGCTGAGGGACTTGTGGGTGCGGAAAGGGCGTCGGCCTGACTGCCCCGGGTGTAGGGGTGTAGGTGACCCCGAGAGCGCCCTCAGCCGCTCCAGCAGAAGGCGGGAGCGGTGTCAGACTCTGCCCGCTTCGGTTAGACTGCAGAGGTTCTAGGGCGCCCTGGTGCGGGGTGGTGACGGGTTGCCGTGGTGGGAGACGGCAATGCCTTAGTCTTAAGAAAATACCGGTTTATTACTGGAGCATATTGTACATCCACTTAGATAGGCCATACATTGGAACATAAGATCTCTTCATAAATTTTAAAAAGATTGCATTTTGACGCAAGCTCTCTAATCACAGTGGAAGAAGATTTGAAATTAGTCATGATGTCAAAGTATTTGGAAATCCACGGGTCAAAGGAGAAATTGCAGGGGGACTTAAGAAACTTATAAAAACTATATAGTACAACAAGCAAAACATACAACTTGCCAAAAATTAGTGTCGAGAGACTACAGAGGCAACCAGAGAATTTGTTGCATTAAATGCTTATATTAGATAAGAAGAAAGGCATAGATCAAAGACTGAACAGTCCATTTGTAGAAATTGAAAATGCAAAATGACTCAAATGACGAAATAGTAGTGATAAGAGAGGAAATCAGTGATAAAAAATGAACTGTGGACACAGCAAATATAAATGTTACTTTTCCTGCTTTTTTGGTTTTAAAAATGTTAATTAGTTTTTAACAGATTCAACATGGTTTGTAAATACAATTCTAGGAACATAGATAGGCCATACATTGGAACATAAGATCTCTTCCTCCCTATCTCTCTCCCTTTCTCATTCTCCTTTCTTCTCCCTTTCTGTGTGTGTTTTTTTTAGTTTTTGACATAAAATTTTAAATTTACATTGCAATAAAAGGCTTAATGCTTCCCCAAATAAGAAGTTTAACAAGTAAAAAACAAAAAGAGCCTAGCTTAGTGAGAATATAAACAATGGCTGTAAACAATAATTGAATGGAAAAATTACCATTTCACCCATATACAGTAAATTCAGAAGTAATCTCAGCTAATTAAAGCAATAGTAGCATAACCCTTTTAAAAGATTTTTTTATTTATTTGAAAGGCAAAGTTACAGAGAGGCAAAGGCAGAGAGAGAAAGGGACATCTTCCATCCACTGGTTCACTCCCTGAATTGTTGGAATGGCCGGAGCTGAGCTGATCTGAAGCCAGGAGCCAGGCGCCTCCTCTGGATCTCCCACATGGGTGCAGAGGCCCAAGCGCTTGGGTCATCTTCTGCTGCTTTCCTAGGCACATTAGTAGGGAGCTTTATGGGAAGTGGATCAGCTGAGACTCAAACTGGCACCCATATGGGATGTTGGCATCATAGGTAGTGGCTTTACCTTCTACGCCACAACACCAGCCCTGGAAGACTTTCAGTTACTACTTCAATCCCATTGCTTTTTATGAGTCTGTTTAGGTTGTCTATATCTCCTTGATTTAATCTTGATAGATTATAAGTATCCAGGAATTTATCCATTTCTTAGAGGTTTTCCAGTTTATTAGCATATAGTTCTCCATAGTTAGTTTCTTATGATCCTTTGTATTTCATTGGTGTCAGTTGTAATGTCTTCTTTTCCATCTCTAATTTTATTTATTTGAGTTATTTCTCCTTTTTCTTTGCCATTTTGACTAGAAGTTTATCTCTTTTGTTTTTCTTCTCAGAAAAACCCAACGTTTTGTTTTGTTGATCTTTCGTATCTTTTTTTTTTTTAGTTTCAATTTCATTTATTTCTGCTCTGATCCTTATTATTTCTTGCCTCCTGCTGATTTTGGGTTTGGTTTGTTCTTGTTTTTCCAAGTCTTTGACATGTATCATTAGCTCTTTGGTTTCAGATTTATCTTTTTTTTTTTTTTGACAGGCAGAGTGGACAGTGAGAGAGAGAGACAGAGAGAAAGGTCTTCCTTTGCCGTTGGTTCACCCTCCAATGGCCGCAGCGGCTGGCACGCTGCGGCCGGTGCACTGCGCTGATCCGATGGCAGGAGCTAGGTACTTATCCTGGTCTCCCATGGGGTGCAGGGCCCAAGCACTTGGGCCATCCTCCACTGCACTCCCTGGCCACAGCAGAGAGCTAGCCTGGAAGAGGGGCAACCGAGACAGAATCCAGTGCCCTGACCGGGACTAGAAACCGGTGTGCCGGCGCCACAAGCCGGAGGATTAGTCTAGTGAGCCGCAGCGCCGGCTGAGATTTATCTTTTTAAATGTAAGCACTTAATTCTATAAACATCCCTCTAATACTGCTTTTGCTGTATCACAGGTTTTGTTATGTTGTGCTTTCATTTTTATTTATTTCAAGAAAGTTTTTTATTTCCTTTTTAATTTCTTCAATGATCCATTTATCATTCAGTAGCATGTTGGTTAATTTCCAAGTATTTATTATTGTCCTATTTTCCTTGTTGTTGTTGAATTTTAGTTTTATCCCTTTATGGTCTGAGAAGATACCTGGTATGATTTCAAGCTTTAAATTTCCTGAGACTTGGGGCTGGCACTGTGGCGTAGTGAGTAAAGCCTCCGTTTGCAGTGTGGGCATCCCATATGGGTGCCGGTTTGAGTCCTGGCTGCTCTACTTCCGATCCAGCTCTCTGCTATGGCCTGGGAAAGCAGTAGAAGATGGCCTGAGTCCTTGGGCCCCTGCACCCATGTGGGAGAACCCGAGGAAGCTCCTGGCTCCTGGCTTGCACTGGCCCAGCTCTGGCCATTGCAGCCATTTGAGGAGTGAACCAGTGGATGGAAAACCTCTCTCTCTCTCTGCCTCTGCCTCTGTAACTCTGCCTTTCAAATCTTTTCAAAAATGGCTGATACTTGATTTATGGCTTAATATGAAGTATAGCCTAGAAAATGTTCATGTTTTGATGAAAAGAATGTGCATTCTTTAGCTGTTAGGTGAAATGTCCTGTAAATATCTATTAAATCCATTTGCTCGATGGCATGTTGCAACTCCAATGTGCATTTATTGATTTTCTGTCTAGATGAGCTGTCCATTGATGATAGTGGAATGTTGAAGGCACCCACTATTATTATATTGGAATCTATCTCTCCCTTTAGGTCTAATAGCATTTTCTGTATATATCTGTGTGTTTTGTGTTGAGTGCATACATATTTATGATATGTCTTCTTGCTGAATTGAACATTTTATAAAAATATAATGTCCTTCTTTATCTCTTTTTATAGTTTTTGACTTAAAGTCTGTTTTACCTGATATCAAGATAGCTACTCCTGTGTGTTTTTGGTTTCCAGTTGCCTGGTATATCTTTTTCCAACCGTTCTTCTTCAGTCTGTGTGTATCTTTGTGAAGTGAGGTTCTTGTAGGCGGCATGTAGTGGGGGGTCTTGGTTTTTTATCTATTCAGCCACTCCAAGTCTTTTGGTTGGAGAATTTAATCCATGTATATTCAAGGTTAGTTTTGATACATAAGAACTAAGACCTGGCATTTTGTTGATTGGATACCAATTCTACCTGCTCTGTTAGTGAATTTGATGGTGCCATGTTTCATGTGTAGTTGTAATGCAGGACATTCTTCAGAATTTCTTGTAAGTCTGGTGTGGTGGTTTTAAATTCTCTTAGTTTTTGCTTATCTGGAAAATATCTTATTTCTTTTTCACTTTTAAAGGATAACTTCCCTGGAATAAAATTCTTCATTGGAAGTTTTTTTTTCTTTTAAGACCTTGAATATATCATTCCACTCTTCTGGCCTAAAGGGTTTCTGCTGGGACAGCTGATGTTAATCTGATTGGTTTTACTTTATATGTAACTTGATGCTTTTCTCTTGCTGTTTTTAGGATTCTTTCCTTGTCTTTAAATTTTGACAGTTTGACTACAGTATGCCTTGGAGAAGATCTTTTTTTTGGTTGAGTCTGCTTGGGTTTATTTGAGCTTCTTGTTTCTTGATGTCTGTTTCTTACAAGACCTGGGAAATTTTCAACTATTATTTCATTTAGTAGAGTCCCAACAATTTTTTCCTTATAGATGGTATCCTATATTTTGCATAGACTTTCTTCATTCTTTTTAAGGATTTTTTCTTTATTTTTTCCTGATTGGGCTTTTTCTTTCTTTTTTTTTAAATTCTGATGGAAGTTGACTTTTTAATAATTTATTTGAGAGCTATAATTACAGACAGTGAGAGGGAAATACAGAGAGAATGGTCTTGCATCATCAGCTGGTTCACTCCCCAAATGGGTGCAACAGTTGGAGCTGGGCTATCCGAAGCCAGGAGCCAGGAGCTTCTTCCAGGTCTCCCAAGCAGGTGCAGGGGCCCAAGCTCTTGAGCCATCCTCCACTGCTTTCCTAGGCCATAGCAGAGAGCTAGGACTCAAACTGGTGCCAATATGGGATGCCGGCACTACAGGTGGAGGATTAACCTACTGTGCCACAGTGCTGGCCCCTGATTGGTTTTTTTCAAAAGACTTGTCCTCTAGGTCAGAAATTCTTTCCTCCACTTGGTCTATTCTGCTGTTGAAGCTCTCGGTTATATATATATATATATATATATATATATATATATACACACACATATATATATTTTGTTTCACTGATTGAAAATTTCATCTAGAAAATTTCTATTTGGTTCTTAGAGTGTTCTATCTCTTTAGCAGTATTTTCATTCATATCATTCATTGATTGTTCTAATTTCTTTAATCTTTCCATCTGTATTCTCTTGCATGTTGTTGAGTTTCCTTACAATCATTATTTTGGATTGTATATCTGTCATTTTGTAGATTTCCTTCAGTTGAGGACCTAGTTCTGGAGGATTAATTTGTTCTTTTGGAGGTGTCATGCTACCTTGTTTCTTCATGTCTCCTGTGTCCCTATGTTGATATCTGCCCATGTGGTATATTTGTCCCTTTTTCTGTATGGAGTAGGTTTTATTGTAAAAGAGTTTATGGTTTAGCTGGAATGCAGGATATCACTTGGCTTGTGGCTTTGGATTTGATTCTAGGTGTACGTAGGAATGTAGTCTCTGATTTCTTTTGCCTTAATCTATGTCAGTTGTGTCTGTAAGTGACACAATGGTCTAGTCTGCTGCAGTTTGTAGGGGGAGAAGTATGGCTTTGAGATGAATATGGGTATCCTATGTGTGTCTTTGATCCACAGAGAGTTTGGTGTGAGTCTCCCTGGTGATTGTGATAGCAAGGACCTTGTTCTTGATGCTACTGGCAAGCCTGAGTGATGCTGGGCCTTGTGGCACCAACTGCTGTGGCTCTAGGACTGTGTGATACAGATGGGCCCTTCCTCAGGTCTGCCAGGAGAGTCCAACTGGTGCTATAGCTTATAACACCAAAAGCCTTAGTCCTAGGATGAGGGGATATGAACTGGACCCTGCTCCAGCCCTATAGATTGACTACTAGGTGTATAGGAGATTTTGCTCTGGAGGGTAGGAGTCCAGAGTGGTGGAATGCAGGCTGGTTCTTCTCTAGGTACACCAGGTAGATTGCAGTGGTACTGTGATATTTAGAACTGATTGTTACAGTTCTGGTGTTGCAGGGTATAGTGGGGTCATGACCCAGATTCCCCAGTGTGGGAACAGATTTTTAATGGGCTGCTTCTGGTGTTAGCCCCCAGAAGCTAAAGTGAATCCCTCCTGGCTCATGTTGAATGTGTAAGTGTATGTCTAGGGCAAAATCACCCAAATTCCTACAGTTGCAGGATGTGGGGTATCTGTCCTTTGCCCCACACATTGCCCTGACTTTGATGCTGGTAGAACAGAGGTACGCTTTGTGACTTTTTGTTGCTGTGTATGGCACCCTGTAGGAGTGGGAGAGGGAAAAGAAGCAATGTGGCTTCCCTCCTCCAAGCCCGGCAGTTTTACAGACCCAGTGCTCCCCAGGCTGAAGTCAAAGTCAGTGGCTGACTGTAGAATTCCCTCTCAGCTGAAACTGTGAGTGCTGGGGCAAGCGGCGATTTCTTCCTACCTTGACATAGTCAGATGGAGGCTCTCTCCTCTTGTTCCACAGAGTCTTTTTTTTTTTTCTTTTCTTCTTCACTTCTTCGACAAAAATTTCCATCAGACCCCTGGAAATGTGGTCCTTTCTTTGTTCTTTTAGTATGCCAGAGCAGCTGAAGTTAGTGTGGCTAAACCTTATTCAGCTGTCTTGGATTTCCCCAGATGTTAGTCTTTTTAAAGAATAATACCATTGATAAATCTTAGGAACACTAATCAAGGTAATAGAGAAAAAACTCACTAATCACCAGTATTGGAAATGAAAAGGGGCATTGCTAAAGATTGTACAGACATTAAAAACATAACGAAGGAGTATTATGAACAAATTTGTGAAAAAAAATTTGAAAACTTAAAGTTGCAAGTTCTTTGGAAAAACAAAGCAACTTACTAAAACTGATGCCAGATGAAATAGAAAATATCACTAGCTCTGTATCTTGTAAACAAATTTAATTTGTTCTCAAACAGCTTCTCTAAAATCAAATAAATAAAATGAAGAGGAAGCGCTCTGGGCCTCCCACTCTGTGGGGAATAGCTATGCAGTGGGATGGGCTGTCTGGCACCCACCTCCCTTCCTCCGCTTTGTGCTTGCTCACAGGTCCCAGTGAGACTGCACCGGTCAGCACCCTCCCCGACTGATCACACTGCCTCCCCCCAGGTCCCTGCCATGGCGCTGGAGATGCTGCTGGACTGGTGCGGCTGGATGGGCGTCAACGCCCAGAGGTCTCTGCTTATCCTGGGCATCCCTGCCGACTGTGAGGAAGAGGAATTCCAGGAGGCCGTGCACGCTGCCCTGTGGGCCCTGGGCCGCTTCCGAGTGCTTGCCAAGGTCTTCAGAAACGAGCTGGGGGCCAAGGTGGCCCTGGTAGAGTTTGCTGAGTATTTAAACCGGAACTTGATCCCCCGGCAGATTCCAGGCAAGGGGGGACCCTGGTCTGTGGTCTTCCTGCCCCAGGCCCCTGATTCTGAGTTGGACAATAGACCTGGTCTCCCTGGAGGGCCCCAGGGGCAGGCAGTGGCAGGAGGTATAGGTGTTACAGGAGCTGCAGGTGTGGAAGGTGCTGCACATGCAGAAGGATCTTTAGGTGAGGGAGGAGCTGCAGGTGTGGCAGGAGTTGCAGGTGCGGGAGGAGCTGCAGGTGAGGCCCAGTATGCAGGTGTTAGAAGAGGTGCAGGTGAGGCAGGTGTCATGGGAGGTGCACGTGAGGAAGATGTCCTAGGAGCCGCAGGTGTGGCAGGAGCCGTCGGTGTTATAGGAGGTGCAGGTGAGGCAGGTGTTATGGGAGGTGCGGGTGAGCGAGACATAGCAGGAAGTGCAGGTGAGGCAGGAGCTGCAGGTATTATGGGAGTTGCAGGTGAGAGAGGAGATGCAGGTGCTATAGGAGGTGCAGGTGAGGCAGGTGTGGCCAGAGTTCCTGGGGAGGAGGGGGCTGCAGGTGAGGAAGAAGCTGCAGGTGTTTTAGAAGCTGCAGGCGGGGCAGGAGCTGCAGATGAAGAAGAAGTGTCAGATGAGGAGGGAGCGGCAGGTGACACGGGGATTGCAGGTGTAATAGGCTCTGTGGGTATGGCAGGAGCGGCAGGTGAGGCAGGAGCTCCAGATGAGGACAGAGCTGCAGATGAAGCCGAAGCCTGGGCCCACCAGTGGAGGGAGGCCTTGCAGCCGGTGCTGGAAAACATGGCCTACCAGGAGCTGAGAACCTTTTCTGGGCTGGAAGGGCCCAACTGTGGGGAAGAGCCCTTTGAGAGCTGGCTGGACCATGCCAATGACATGCTTTACCTGTGGCGCCACATATCTGAAGGAGAGAGAAGGAGGCGGCTGGTGGAGAGCTTGGGTGGCTCTGCCTTGGATCTCATATGTGGGGTGCTGGATGAAAATCCTGACACCCCCGCACAGGACTGCCTGGCTGTGCTTGTGCAGGTGTTTGGGAACAAGGATACCCGGATGACTTCCAGGCTGAAGTTCCTGACTTGCTCCCAGCGGCCTCAGGAGAGTCTCTTTGCGTACGTGATGCGCCTGGAAAGCCTTCTGCAGGTGGCCATAGAGAAGGGGGCCATCCAGTCCAGCATGGCTGACCAGGTGCGCACCCGGCAGGTGCTGATGCGGGCCCGCCCGAATGAGATGCTGCAGAACAAACTGAGGAGCTTGCGGCTCGAGAGGAGGCCACCTGGCTTCGTGGGGCTGCTTCGACTGATTCGGGAGACAGAGGCGTGGGAGGGCACCCTATTTAGAAATGAGCAACTGGAGGGTGAGGAAGGGGCCCAAGTACATGATGGAGACCCAGCCGCTGCCCCAGCTGGCGCCGCCCATGGAGATGCTGCCGAGGCTGCCCTGGCTGGTGAGAATGCCGAGGCGGCAGCCCCTCTGGGGGAATCTGCTGCCGAAGGCGGTGGCTCTCCCAGTGCCGATGAAGCCGAGGCCTCCCCAGCCGCAGAAGACGCCGCCCAGCTGGCTGCTGACCCTCAAGCTGCTGCTGAGGCCACAAAGGCTGTCTCTGCTACTGAGGAGGCCACCGAGGGCCCCTCTGCCACCCAGGAAGGTGCATATCCTCTCAGCCCTGTGGCACTTGGTCAGGCAGGAGCCTTGGAGGCCCCCGGGGGCCCCACCCCAGCCCACATGGGCAGTGCTTTTGGAGCGGGCCTAGGCGATCCCAGCTGGGGGCCAGAAACCCCTGCCCAGGGAGGAGACCAGGAGGCCAAGGGGCCTCCCCAGGAGGGGCTCAGGCCTGCCCTGGAAGAGTCGGGAAACGATGGCGGGGCTGGGGAAATGAGCTCCCCCGAGTCCTCGCCGGGCAAATAGGCTCAGAAGGCCCTGGGGCCTCCTCCCCTCACTGGCCACAGAGCCCTGGAGGGGGGGAGGCCAGGCCAGGGTGCCCCCTCACCCCACGAGGGTACCATGGTCCACGCGAGGCCCCACCCTGCCCAGTCCATGCCCCCGGCCTCCCATCTCCCCCAAGGGGCCCTGTCCACTCCCAGCTGCCATTTTAGGTGACCCAAATGCGATAGTTTGCTGCCACATGGGGCTGGGAGGAGCACCCCTCCCCATGGTAGCCCCAACCTTAGCCCTACGCCTGACAACTCAGGTGGCCAGTTTGGAAATGCCCCTGAGGGCCTAGCACCTGAGGACCTTGGCCACCCTCCTGGGCCTGCGAGACATGGGGTTGGGGGGAGAGACCATCTCAAGGGTGCCAGCTGCCTGGGGCTCCCCAGGGGGCCCCCGACCCATTCACCACCCCCAGGGCAGGCTGCTCCCTGTCCTGGGGAGCCCACCCTTACTTGTGTAGGCCCCGTAGTGACCCACGTGTCAAGTCAGCATCCCTTGCCGCACCGACCACCGTTCTGTGCAGGCCAGGAGGTGTGTGTGTGCCCAGGCTGGAGGTCCTGGCCTGTGCGGCCTGTGCCAAGGCCCTGCCCATCCCCATCGCGTGTGGTGAGCCCCGCCTCTGCTTTCTCGCTGCAGACGTAGGCCACTGCCGCTTGTTCTTGCAGAGTGTGTGTGTGTGTGTGTGTGCACTTACCCGAGCAGCTCCTCCCCAGAGACCCCGAGCCCAGTCCCAGGAGGCAGCAGGAAAGACAGCCGAGGGCGCAGCCAACCGATGCTCCCACTGTGATGGTGACCGCGATGGTGAGGAGAGGAGGAAGAACTGAACCGGCGATGGACTGGGGGCTGCATGAGGCTCCACAGGGACTGTGCTCTGATGTTGCCCCCTGAGTTAGTTGTGACTCAGTTTCCCAGCCTGATGTGACATTCCCTGTAGTGTTTCCTGTGTCCCTTGACTTCCCGTGTGGGCCATGGGCAGGACCATGCCCAGCTGGTCAGGGGACCCCTGCAGTGACTGCGTCTTGTCCTGATGAGGGGCAGATCCTGGGGCCCTCAGGAGGGGAGAACAAGATGGGAGGGCCCTGGTGTGCAGGGCAAATGAGGAACCCTGGAGGAGGGAGGCCCGGGACCCATGGCCTCCAGTGACCGTCAGGAGTTACCCTCTATGTCATCGTCCCTTCTCTTCAATGGTTGTAGTGTTTCTGTTCAATAAAGCTTGTTTAATGTTCCAGCTGTCTCCCCTCTGCTGTGGGCGCCTCAGGGGGCGGTGGGCTGGGGATGGGATGGCGGAGGAGTGGAGGAAGTGCCCGGCGCCCACTGGAGACGTTTCCAGTGACAGATGAATGCTACCGTCTGCAGGCCGGGGCGTGATGAGGGTGGTGGTTTTATGTTACAGGTGAGTTGTGTGGCCAGGGTGGTCCTGTCCTTCGGGGCTTTTGAAGATCTTTGCAGGTGGTGCTGGTTGTTTCCTTGATGTGGCGTAAGATGCTACTGGCGGTCAGTGCCTGGGGTTCAGGATGGCTGAACGTGAGTGATGTCAGAGCTTTGGGCTGTGCCCCAAAGGCTCACAGCACCCCTGTGGGGAAGCAGTGTCAGTGACAGGGTTTTTGAAACCCCTGGATGTTTTTAGATTTGAGATTCTCAAAATCTCCCCCTGTGGCCCCAGTGGCAGCTTACTGAGCACCAGCAGATCTCCGACTCTTGTGGTTCTTCTGGGAGAATGGAGCTAACGGTGGCCATAACCCTTCCACTGCCAACGGGCACTTGCTCTGCAGGTGTGGGGATGAGCAGGCTGATGCCTGCACAGCCTTCTGAAGGGCTGGACTTGTGTTTCACTTTACTGCTTACGTAGGAATCCAACATGCCAGGGCTGTCAGCCTAATTTTTAAAAACAAGGCCAAGGGCTTGGCACTTAACCCTGGTTCTGAGAAGGGTCCAAGCTTGGCATTTTTGTGCCCCAAATGGAGAGACACTGCAGAAGATGAGACCATGGCAGCACTCTGGGGGATGGGGGGTTGTGAGACTTCCTGCTAAGGGCCCTGAGATGCCCTTGGACCACTTAGGCAGGCATGGTGGGCAATTGAACTCGTCCTGTCCCAGTGAGTTGCTTCCTTACGAGTTATGAGGATGATCCCAGCTCCCATGAGGAGGAGTGTAGAGGGCTAGGTCTGGATGTCCTGCTGCCTGGCTCTTAGGATAAAGATCAATCCCTCTTTCAACATTTTATTTTATTATTTTTTCATTTTTTTTTAAAAAAGGTGTATTTATTTACTTTAAAAGTTACAGAGAGAGGGAGAGACAGATAGATTCCATCCACTGGTTCACTCCTCACATGGCTGCAACAGCCAGAGCTGGGCCAGGCCAGGCCAAAGCCACGATCCAGGAGCTTCATCCAGATCTCCTATGTGGGTGGCAGGGGCACAAACACTTGGACCTTTTGCCATTGCTTTTCCCAGGCCATTAGCAGAGAGCTGGGTTGCAATTGGAGCAGCCAGGATATGAACTGGTGCCCATATGGCATTGCAGGTGATGGCTTTACCCGCTACACCATAGCACTGACCCCAAGATCCACCCCTCTTGAGACCTTTAAGGTCTGACCTCTACAACCTTAGTGTCCGTGTATGTATCTAGCTATCTCTATCATCTATCTATTTGTATCTGTCTTGTCTCTCTCCATCTCTCTTTGAGCCACATCAGCCATCTTTTAGTCCAGCTCTCACTAAGTCCCTTTCAGCCCCAGGACCTTTGCTCATGCAGGTCGCTCACCTGCTGTGTAGCCCACCTTCCAAAAGAGGAGTGAAGAATGTCAGGTGTGCACTCTCCTGGCTTCCCTCGCAGCCGGGCCACAGGCACATGGCCAGACAGCTGCGCCCACTGCTGAGTTACTCTGAGGCCTGCGATGGGAGAAGCACGGACCCCAGCTGGGTAGGCTGGCAGCGGCAGGGGCAGTGCCACCTGTTTCCCGAGGAGCTGTGGCAGCTGGGGCACTGGAGGCAGCGTGTGGAGTCCTGCAGGGTCTGTGCCTCGTCATGGGTGGGAGCCGCGGGGGACGGGACCCTTGCTCCTCTCTGCAAAGCGCCCAAGCTGGCTTCCCCCACCCTCCCGAGACGCGGGTGGGGTGCCCCGTGGCTGTTCCCCTTGCACCTCCATCAACCAGTGTGTTTTTGCTGGGCGCCACTAAGAGCTGCGAGGGACCAGTCTCTGCAGATGCCATCTGAGCTGCTGGTGCCTGAAGTGCCCCTCCCTGGGCCAGCTCAGCGACACCACTTACCCTTGGCTCGCTTCTTAGTGCCCAGCCAGCATCCCCGCCCCCCCCCCCCGGCAGTGGTTCATGGGCTCCTCTTACCCAGGGACCAGCTTCGGTCTTTACCCCCAGGTCTAGCCAGGTGGGTCAATCCAATGCTTGGCTCATCAAATACCTTGTCCTAGGTCTCTGAATCGGAATAGGAGATCCTATAGGGATGGCCTGGATCTAAGCCATGGCAGAGGCAGTGTGCTTGGCAGCCAGCTCTGCTTCTTGGCCCCTGCCTATGAGGAGCCCTTGGGGAATCCCTATGTTCCAAACCTGGTCCCTAACTTTTTGCTTGCTCTGTGACCTCTCAGGAGCCAGACAAATAACAGAGAGGGACAGGGAGAGACGGACAGAGATCTTCCATCTGCTGGGTCACTCCCGAAATGGTTGCAAAGGCTGGGCTGGGCCAATGCTGATGCTAAAACCAGTAACCAGTAAGCAGTGACTGCATCCTGATCTCCCACATGGGTGGCAGGGCCCAAGTACTTCCCAGGCACATTAGCAGGAAGCTGGATTGGTAGTGGAACAGCTGAAACTCAAACTGGCACTCTGATATGGAATGCTGGCATTGTGAGTCGCAGCTTAACCCACTGCACCACTTTGCTGGCCCCTTCTGTGTTTAAGAGTCACGTGGGCTGGGCAGTTAACCGTGATTAAGATGCTGGTTAAAAGGCCCATACTGGGATCGGCATTGTGGCATAGCTGGTAAAGCCATCCTATATTGGTGCTGGTTTGTGTCCCGCCTGCTCCACTTCTGATCCAGCTCCCTGCCAATGGCTTGGTAAAAGCAGTGGAGGATAATTCGAGTCCTTGGGCCACTGCTATCCATGTGGCAGACGTGGATGAAGCTCCTGGCTCCTGGCTTTGGCCTGGCTCAACCCTGGCCATTGTGGCCATCTTAGGGAGTGAACCAGTGCATGGAAGAATGAACCAGTGGATGGAATTTACAAAGAATGGATCTCTGTTTGTAACTCTGAATCTCAAATAAATAAATAAATAAATAAATCTTTTAGAGAGAGAGAGAGAGAGACCCACACCCTGTACTGGAGTGCCTGCCTTGATTCCTGGCTTCAGCTCCTGACTCTAGCTTCCTGCAAATGCAGATCCTGGGAGGTATGGTGATGCCTGCTGATGGCTCTGAGTAGCTGAGTCCCCGCCACTCATGTGTGAGGCATGCATTGTGTTTCTATTTCCTGGCTTTGGCCTGGCCCAGGCGCAGCTGTTGTGGATAGGAGGTCTCTGTCTCTGGCTCTCAAATAAACAAAAATTACGAAAAGAAGACACAGGCCTTGCTGGTACTGCTCACTGACTGACACATGCTGCCTGTGCTGCTGGCCCCTATGTGGCCATTCCACGCAGCTGCCGTCCTGCAACTCTGCTCATGTCCTCACTGCCGCTGCAAAGCTTCCTGTGAGGTGGAGCAGCCAGAGGGCAGGGACTGTGTCATGTTGATTGTTGTGTCGGAGGGCACAGCCAGGCAGGGCTGAGGCATAGTGGGTCTTTAGGGAGTATCGGTGAAGGTGACTCTGTCCTGTGCCCAGTGCTGCAGTGAGAGCGAAAGAGGCAAGTCTCACCTCAGGAGCTGAGTGTTGTCACCATGACAGCCACAGCCTCTCCAAGCCTCTCGTCTGCACATAAGCTCTTTACACACCTCAGCTGCTGCCACTGTGCTCCATGGGCCATGCAGAGGGACCATGGATTGCACACTTGGCAGGGGCCATGCTCACTGATCAGTCAGTGGCTAGTTAGGGGGATGGGGAAGCCAACGATCATTTGTTTTAAATTTTGACTTGTTTTCATTTTATTAGAGAGAGAGGGAGAGAGAGACCTAGAGAGATCTTCCTTTGGCTGATTCCCTCTTCAAATGTCTGCAACAGCCAAGACTGGGCCATGCTGAAGCCAGGAGCCAAGAACTCCATCCTGGTCTCCCAAGTGGATGGCAGGGCCCAAGTGTTTGGGGCACCTCTGCTGCTTCCCAGGGAACTGCATCAGAAGTGGAAGAGCTGGGACTCAACCAGGCACTCCAGTACGGGATGAGGGCATCGCACGTGGTGACAACCAAATGTCTGCCTCACCAACAATTATTTCTGCTCTATGTACGTGGGTTAATTTCAGGGCTGTCTATTCTTTTCCATTGATCTGTGTATTGGTTTTTATGCCAAGTTTACCCTTTACAAGAAAAGAAATTGGTTTTTATGCCAAGTTTACCCTTTACAAGAAAAGAAAGAACAGCCTAATCCACTCCCCCTTCATCTGCCATTGTGTGGGGTCCTGAGTCTTGCAAAGCCCAGAGCAGGCTCAAGAGGCTCCTGCCAGCCAGGTACCCATGGAGCCAAAGAGTTCCAGGTGATTGGGGTCTCAGGGCCCTGGGGCCTGAGTGGAGCTCCCAAAGCGTCTTCCACTGGCAAAGCCTTCGTGTGCTCCACCCACAGGAGCCTGTTTCCCTGGAAGACCCCTTCCTGGCTGCCTGGGGCTACAGCTCCTCACTCTGGGCTCTGCTCTCTCCTCCCAGGGCTCCTGCCTCCCTGACCTTGTTTCCAGCAGACCTCATTGCCTTTGCCTTCCACGGGTCCTGGAAGCAAGTGAGAAGGTCCTCTATCTAGTACCCCAGGTCCCAGTTAAAGGAGCACAGCAGCCATCCGACATGTCTCTCCTCTTGCCCAGCAAAGGGACAGGAGGCAGGGGGTTGCAGTCATGGCCAATAGCCACTTCAAGCTGCATCTGGGGACACAGGGACAGCATCTGCTCTGCACTGCCTTCTGCTCCCTCCCAAGGCCTTGGAAAGCTCGCTGGTGGAGACCTGCCAGAGAGCAGGGCTGTCTTCTCCCAGGCCCTCAGCACAGAGGGTTTGAGCAGGGCTTCAGCTGCCCCCTTCCCAGTGCAGAGGAGAATTCTGGTCAATTGTGTGCCAGTGACTGACGGGCCTGCAAACAGATGGT